GGCACGGAGGCAGGCACGGAGGGACGCAGGGCAGGGCAGGGGGAAAGAAAACAATTGATCTATGATGCTCGACATTCACTCTTGGCTAATTTGGAGTTTCTGTGTGACCCACTCCTTTCCTAAGAATGAAGAGTATGGTTATACATTACAAAAAGCGGAGAGAAAAAATGTCCCCACTGGGCTAAAGGAGAGAACTTCAGAGTTAGCTGAACAGAGTGAGAGCGTCCCTAAGTCCCTCCTGGAAAAGCGTCGTCCCCATAGGATAGGTGAGTGAGTGAGTGATACAGGTTTAGGCCAAGCCTCAGGAAAAAGCCGCGCCTACAGAGCTCTGACGACAGGTAACTTGGTCCTGCTGCTTTTGGGGTGGGGGAGGGGAGCCTTTTCTCGACTGGAACGTCAGGTGGGGATTGGGCAGGGACAGGGACGTGAGTGAGAAAGCTTTCACTGGTCTAAGGTCCTAGGTCTCCAGCCCCAGGCACCTGAGGGATGAAAACGGGTCTGGGGCACGAAGCCCGTCAAGGGAAGCCCGCGGCCCCTGGCTCCTAGCCCCGCGCCTCCATTTGCACGCGGGACGGCAACAATCAGGGGCACGTACCCAACGTTCCTTTCGCGTGGGATCCTGGGAGAGGGACCGGAAGCCTGCCACAGTCGGGGCTTTCCTGGACGGCCGTGAGTGGGGTCCGCGAGTGTCCCGTTGGAGCGCCTATTATGAAAGACTATGGGGGAGCAAGATGGGGGTAGGGGAGCCTAGGGGACAGCTGAGATGTAGCGGGGCTCCGGCGAAGCCGACTGACCTCGGGAGCCGCCGGTGTCCCCGTGACGACGCCGCCGCCGCCGCCGCCGCCGCCGCCATCACTGTGACCTTGACTACGCAGCCGCCATCTTCTCTCCCTCGAGTATCCCGACCAGCGAGCTCAGCCACCGTAGCGGCCACAACAGTGACACCTAAGGTCAACGCGGGACATTCGCACCTCGGGGAACTTCGCCGCCACCTCCGTGAGCTTTGCTGAGGTAAAAGACCCCGAAGTTCGCCATGGCGGACAAGCCCAGCCGCAGTGCGAAACTTTATGCCCTGAATGAGGACAAACAGTGGGATTTCCTGGGCTCGGGGCAGGTCACCGCAGTTTACACGCAAATCCAGGGCGCGTCTCTGTTAGTTCGGTCGGAGTCCAGCGACTCACTGATCCTGGAGTCTGAGATACTCCCAGACACCCCCTATCAAAAACAAAAGGACACTTTAATAGTTTGGTCTGAAACCGAGAACCATGGGATGGCTTTGAGTTTCCGAGACGCAGAAAGCTGTCAGGAGATCTGGGAAGACATTTGCCAGGTTCAGGGTAAAGACCCGTCGGTCACTGTCACACAAGACCTCTTAGATGATTTAGAGGAAGAATTGGAGGAAGCGCTAGAAGCTGATGAGCTGGGTGACCTGCCTAACTGTGAAATAAGTAAACTTAAACAGATTTCTAACTTAGTTACCTCAGCTTTCTCTTCGCCTCCCCGTAAGAGAAGGCTGGCCCTGATGTTGGAAAATGAGAGTTACATCAAAAAACTACTGCAGCTGCTGCACTCTTGTGAGAACCTGACATACACTGAAGGTTTATACCATTTGCATACAATCGTTAAGGGAATCTTGTTCCTTGACAAGACATCTTTGCTTGAGATCTTGTTTTCTGATGACTGTATCATGAATGTGGTGGGATGCCTTGAATATGACCCTGCTTTGGCTCAGCCAAAAAGGCATAGGGAATTCTTAACCCAAAATGCAAACTTCAAGGAAGTTGTACCAATAACAACCTGTAAACTTAGACAAAGAATACATCAGACATACATGGTACTGTATATTCAAGACATTCTTTTCCCTACACCATCCATATTGGAAGAGAATTGTCTTTCTGCTCTTAAAACTTTTATTTTCCTCAACAAGATGGAGATAGTCCACATGCTGCAGACAGACGACAAGTTTTTGCCTCAAGTTTTTGCACAGTTAAAGGATAAAACTACTGATGATGATAAACGGCGCGAATTGATTTTTTTCTTCAAGGAATTCTGTACATTTACTCAGATATTAAAGCCTCGAAGCAAGGATTCATTATTCAAAACATTGACACAAATAGGAATTCTTCCTACTATTAAAGTTGTAATGAGCCTGGATGATTTGCAAGTAAGGTCAGCTGCTACTGACATATTTGCTTATCTAGTGGAGCATAGTCCATCCATGATCCGAGAATTCATAATAGAAGACACCCAGCAGAATGAAGATGGTAACCTTCTCATTAATTTAGTCATTAAACAAATGATCTATGATACTGATCCTGAACTAGCAGGTGCTTTTCATATAATGAGACTTCTTCGTTATATACTCGATCCAGACAACATGCTTGCAACGCCTCAAAAATGCGAAAGAAGTAAATTTCTAAATTTCTTCTATAAACGATGTATGCACAACATAATAGCACCACTTTTGGCTGCTACTTCCGAAGACACAACTGAAGAGCATCATATACTTGGAGCTGACATACACAACAGAAATTGCATCAATAATTATCAAACAGCACAGCTGCTTGGCCTAATTTTAGAGCTGCTCACTTTTTGTGTGCAACATCACACATATTACATAAAATACTATATTTTGCGAAAAGACTTGCTAAAAAATGTCTTGATCTTGATGAATTCTAGACACACATTCTTGGTCTTGTGTGCACTTCGCTTTATGAGAAGGATAATTGGCCTTAAAGATGAAGTTTACAATCGTTACATCATCAAGGGAAATTTTTTTGAGCCAGTTGTAAGTGCCTTTCTGAATAATGGAACTCGATACAATATGTTGAATTCAGCTGTTATTGAACTATTTGAATACATAAGAGTGGAAAATATCAAGTCTCTTCTTGTACATATAGTTGAAAAGTTTTACAAAACACTTGAATGGATTGAATATGTTCAGACATTTAAAGGTTTGAAGATTAAATACGACCAAGAAAAAAAACGAAAGAGTCACAAGAGTTCGAATTCCATGCAGAAGAGTAAAATATTTTTCAGAAGTACGGGAGACTTGGAGAAGAATGAAGCCTGTCATAAAGAAAATACAGAAAATATAGAGGAAGGAGAAATAGTTACGACACCATTGGAAAGTGATTTTCAAGGTGGTGATGATGAATTTATGGAGACTGAAAAAACAAAAGAAAATGAAGACAAGGTTAATCTTCCTAAAAGAGCATCTTCTGGTAGCTACAAATATACTTATTCGCGTTCTGCTGGTGATGCTAATGGAACAGGTAGCCCATCCAGTAGTAGCGAAATGAGATTAGTGGATTATCCGGATGATGATGATGACGAAGATAAGGAAGATGAAACAGCCTCCAGGAAAAGACCACATCTTAACCCATGAAACCTTTATGAGAGACTCTCAACATTATTAAAGTCTACATTACTAAAATTTTGTAAACATCGATTAGCTAAAAAGTCTGAATCGATTTTTCATGGGAATTTACAAGTATGCAATTTGTAGCAAAGATGCTCAGTATTATCATCTAGAAGAGTTTAGTTCTGTAAATACCAAGCTTCCCATAATCTTAAAAAAAAAAAAAAAAAAAAAAAAAAACAACACAACTAACCAGAACCTGAATGACTTCTTAGCAAGAGAAATCTTTGTTTGGGAGAACAGGTTGATAATATAATATCGATGTACTTTTGTTCCAGCAGTGTATATTAGAAACAATTGTTAAAAGTACAGTTGCATAGCCTGTAACATTACTTTCCCCAAATCATTGACTGGTTTTCTTTAATTGCCTTCTTTGAAACAAAAATTTATATTTGTTTATATGGAAACGAAGTCAACTGGAATTTTAAAATGTTAATCTATTTACATTTCTGTGAAGATTTAACAAAAATTCAGGCCTGTGGGTAATTGAAGGGAAATAAATTTCAGTGTGTATTTTCATGAATAAAAAAGGAAGCTGGTTTCAAAATATGCAGTTGTGGATGTACCTTTTTTTTTTTTAGATAAGAGGGGTCAAAAGTCAGCCCAGTAGTATTCTAAAAGGGTGTTCTCTAGGACCTTGGGGGTAGTAGAACAGAATGCTTTCAACTTGGAAGCTGTTTCCTGACTCATTTAATAAAGCTGTGTGTTACTCCAGAGCAGCAGGTAAGTTTTAAAGTGTAATTTACAAAGACTAACATACAAAAAATAGTGCTGAATGAAGTGGCACTTAATATCTAGAAACCATTTTGGGCCAAGAAAAGGGTACATAGGTGTCAAATTCCACACACAGTATATGAAGTTTGTTTTTCTATAAACAAACAACAGGTAATAGGAAAGGTGCTTTGTTAAAGAGTGAATGCAAATGAATTTCTAAAAATAAATTGTAGCAAGGAGTTAGGTTTTATTTTTTTCCTGGAGCAAGTTAACAGTCCATTTATCCTGGTTTAGCTTAAATTGAAGCAGTTTCTTCTGTTTTTGAAGATTTTAGGATTAATTTCAGTTTTATCCATTGTTTGAACAAGATGGGCTATCTGTGTATATATAAAGTATGGTTTTCCAGAAGACAGATATCTGTTTTGTATTAAAAATACCATTGTAATTCTTTTGTACCATTTAGTGATGATATTCATACAGAACTATAAAATTCAGGAATTAAAAAGCAATCCTGTAATTCCCCAAATAAGACCATTTTAAATGTATTATTGTGCCAATAGGAGACACATCTCATGCAAAACTAAGAGACTGTAGTGTAAGAGCTACAAAAAGAGTGTATTCCTAAAACAACAAACAATCATTTCACCCTATATAAAGTCTGCTAAAGTGTGGGCATGACCTCAGGAAATGTCATCAGACATTACTGAGGACGTGACACCGCAGAGGAACTGCATTTTTCACATCTCTCAAACCCTGCTAGTTAAATGTTGTAATGGGATTATTCAAAGTCAAGTGATTTTGTGTCTGTCAAAAAAGGCAGTTTAAAAAGCTTGTCATATTTTCCTTCTGGCTAGATTGTCCTGGGGAATGTTATCCATAGTACAAATATTTAAATGCGCACACAGAATTTTGCTTTGAGGAAAATACACTTCACTCTTTGTTTCGGTGGGAGTAGCCCCACTTCCTTAACAGAGCAGCTATTTACATTTAGACAGAGAAGAACAGTGTTTTTTGACAGTCTTTCTGCTTATTCTCTCCCCTTCAGCTAGTTTTAATCGGCCATAAAAAATGAACACTGTAAGGGGAAAAAAAGAATATTTGCATTTTTTGTTGTATTGTCCCCAGTGAATTTGTAAGGCAAGATAAGGGAGGGCATAAGTGTAATGGAAAGTTGGAAGGAAAAAAAAAGAAAAAAGGACAGGCATTCTACTGAGCTGTGTAACCTCTATGAACCCTATTCTAGTCTCAGCTACTTAATGTTAGGGAAACAACATGACAAGCAAAATGGTGCAAAGCCAAATTGCCCATCAGATGGCATAACCTACTATTAAGGGAACATTTAAGAGGGCAACAAAACACAGAAGAGCAATCCTTACTGTCTGCACACTGAGTGAAAAATTGGCCAAAATGTTCAGTCTCTAGATACTGTATGTGAGAAGATACCATGTAAAAAGTGTTTAATTTCCTCTTTTTTAGAAGTCATTTTAAAAGTACCCTTAAGTGGTTTATTTATGAAAAGAAGAAACAGTTTGGAATGGCCCTGTATTTACAAAAATATTCGGGTGAGCATTTCTGCAGAGGCTCCCTGGAGTTGATAAAGTTTGGCTTTTAATACATGACTTTCAGTAATTTTTATGACTCAGTGACTTTCTAAATGCACCAACAAGGGGAGGGTGATGTGACACGTAAAGCAAAAGCTTCATATTCAGACAGCCCTTGATAACAATGCAGGCTGACACCAGTTTCATGACCTTATTTTCTCCTCCAGCCACAATTTCTCCATCTTGTCCTAACTATATGTAAATTACCAAGAACATAGTACTCAATAAATAGCTTTTAAAACTAATTATCATCATCAGCAACAGTATAATCATTTCTAAGAAATAGGGATAAAGCCAGGTATAAGCACTTATATTACAAGTTATGCTCATAAAGCAATAATCTTATATTCTGGATTAAATTGATAGCAACATGATAAATTAAAAATGAGTTCAATTCTGGTTGGCAAACAAGTCTACATGTATGCATCATGCCCTAAATTTTCAAAAGAGGTCTATATAATTTCCTATCCCTTTAGTCCTGATTTAATGACCAAATTGCCTTACTCTGATGTAAGGCCTCTCAATCCCATCACTACTGACATTTTGGGCCAGATAATTCATTGTTACAGGAGGCGGACCTGTGCATTATAAGATGTTTAGCAGCATTCCTGATGTATACCCACTAAATGCCAGCAGCACAGCCCTAGCTGTGACAACCAGAAATGTCTCCAAAAGTAGTTAAATATCCCTCGAGGGGGCAAAGTCACCCTCAGTTGTGAACCTAGTTTAAAGATGTGCTTGATTTGCCCAGTGTGGCTCAGTGGTTGAGCATCGACCTAAGGATCCAGGAAATGAAGGTTTGATTCCCTGTCAAGGCACGTACCTGGGCTGCGGGCTTGATCTCCAGTAGGGGGCGTGAAGGAGGCAGCCGATCAATGACTCTTTCATCATTAATGTTTCTCTCTCTCTCTCTCTCCTCCCTTCCTCTCTCTGAAATCAATAAAGATATACTTAAAAAAAAAATTAAAAATAAAAATCTGGAGGACTTTAAAGGAGAGATCAACAGCAACACAATCATAGTAGGGGACTTTAACACCCCACTGTCATCATTAGCGAGATCATCCAGACAAAAAAAATCAACAGGGAAACAGAAACCTGCAATGACACACTAGATCTAATAGATTTAATTGACATTTACAGAACATTTCATTCCAAAGCAGCAGAATATACGTTCTTCTCAAGTACACACCAAACAGTCTCAAAGATAGACCACGTGTTAGGACACAAAACAAGTCTCTACAAGTTCAAGAAGATTGAAATCACATCAAGCATCTTCTCGGACATTTACACAAT